TTTATAAATAAACTAATAATTTGATAAATATAACTTAATATATATTAATATACTTTTACAAAAATATAAATATATAAGATCAGATATATATTTCTAATTAATATACTTATATTTTTGTAAAAGTATATTAATATATAACAAGTTATATTTATCAAATTATTAGTTTATCTATAAATATATTAATAATATTATTGATATAATATTAAAAATTATAATATACGTTAATTTGAATAGATAAATAATTGTTTAATTTTAAAATATTATATATATATATATATTAAAATTATTAATTTTTAATGGGAGAAACTAAAATCGTACTATTATGATATTCGAGAGACTAAAATTGTTCAATTAAAAATTGAAGGACCAAAATCGCGCAATTGCAATTCTTTAAGGACTAAAATTACCCGATTAAAATCTTGGGGATCAAAACTGCACAATTGTAATACTTGAGGGATCAAAACTGCATCCACGTGGCCAAAAGTTAACTCCGTTTAAATAATTTGGACGGAAGTCCCAAATTGAAACCAATTAATATATTTGGGACCAAATTAAAACCAATTAATTAATTTAGGACCAAATTGAAACCAAAAATAAAATTGGGACTAAATTGAAATAAACAATTATTATAAGGGACCAAAATAGGTTTTTAGCCAAAAATTATCTTCCACGTGGCATCCACGTATGCATCTACGTGGCATCCACGTGGCCAAAAATTAACTCCGTTTAAATAATTTGGACGGAAGTCTCACATTGAAACCAATTAATTAATTTGGGACTAAATTGAAACCAATTAATTAATTTGGGACCAAATTGAAACCAAAAATAAAAGTGGGACTAAATTGAAACAAACAATTAATATAAGGGACTAAAATAGGGTTTTAGCCAAAAAATTTATTAAATACTACTAATTTAGAAAGAAATAATAGATTAAAAGTTAAGAAAATATTAAAAATGTTATTGATAAGAAAAAAAAGATAAGATTGTTCTTGTGAAAGAAATGTTCTAAACGCCGTTTAGGTCAAGATGATTATTCTAATGTAAAGAAGATTATTCTAATATTTGATGTTTATCTTAAAGTAATCATCTTGTAATGTTGTGAAAAGCTAAATTTGGCATTTTTTTTATGGAGAAGTGTTTTAGTTTGTTATGCCCCATATATTAGTTTTGACGTAAACAAATGGGTTTGCATATATTTAGATGATTATTATTGCTTTTAAATTTATTTTTTAAGTTCATTTCAATCTTGTATAATAAACTAATAACAAATAAAAAAAAAACTAATAGCTCTTGTATAAAAAACATTTTTTTTAACTCATCTCTACAAAATTTAAATTTCTTTTAGAACAAGATAATATTAAATTTCAATAATTTAAATTGATAGGTAATTATGTAAAAAAGTATACTTTGATTTGAGTTTATATAATAAAATATTATATAATTTTTAAATTTTAAAATAATAAATTTGATAAATTTAAAATTTTAATTTAATAATTAAATTATTAAAATTTAATAAAAAATATAATTTATTGAATGAAAGAAATTTTCTAAATTTTACTCTTAGAATAAGAAAATTCTGTCTCTTATTATTAATTTATAATTAAGTTTTGAAAATCTTGATATAAAAAAAAGTTTTGAAAGTTATATTTTGTTTTTAAAAAGTTTTAGATTTTTAAAATTCTTTTAGTATAATAAAATTAATTTTAGAAGATATTATTTATATATCAATTCATAAATTTTAAAATTTAGAATTTAAAGTCTAAAAGTCAAACTTAGAGTGTTAAATTCTAAACTTAAAGGTCGAACTACCCCAACTCAATTTTCATTTATCAAACATAATCTTTAATTAAATTTAACTTATTTAATTTATGAAATAAGTATAACAATTTTTTTCCATGTATTTACTTAAACAGTCCTTCCATGTCATTTTATCAGTTATCACACATTTTACTGTTTACACCATGGCTCAATAATAAATGACATAATAAATTCGTAAATTTTTATAATAATAATCGACTTAAAAGTCACTTAAATTGTGATTTATATATATATATATATATATATATATATATATA